TGATGTTTTTGAATAAGCAAATAAAATTACAAACATTGCATGGATAAAGGAAAGTGTATCAACATTTTATAAAAGGTTATTCACGATGGCAGAAGTAAATCTAATGTTAGAGATTTTTTCTCTATGTCCTGGTCACAACGACAAGTTGTAGTTAATTGTAAAAAACACCACAGATACTGCTAGAAGAGCAGTCAGAAAATGAGGCATTTTGAAAAACTCTACTATTGTTGTCTGACCGCGCGACGATGATCAGGGAGCACTTTGAAGTGACAGAGTTGTAACTGTTTCAGTGTCCTTTCCCCATAAGTAGTCACGGGAAGCGGTTTTTGCGAGGTTACGGGCGAGGAGGTGAACAGTTTTCCCGTTGTGCGACATTTGCTTCAGGTATTCTGAGGAAAAGGCACGTTTTGCACGCCTCGATGACTGATGAGTACTCGATGAGTACAAATAGCTCCCAGCTACTGAGAGCTAAAGGGCACAACTGGGTCGATTAAGAGTTTCATCGGCGAGAAATTGCCGATTTGTGCACCGTAAATCCTCTTCCGATTTACAACACCGGAAAGAATTTGCAGTCAAGATTTCGAACTCCAGTCGGTTCCATGGAACGAGGAGGGATTCAGTTTGTCCGCTGAGCTCAGTTTGTCAGCTGAGCCGCAGTCGAACTAACATCGCATTTTCGGATGCTCAGGCCAGAGTTATAGGTCCTAGCCGTACTAAATATGTAGCCCGGTGAGTGCCTTACTACCGCCATACCAAGAGCCAAGTTGGTTTAGCAGTCTTCATCTTTATGTTCCATATCTCCCGATGCAACATATCTTAGCAAGATATAGCTTAATTTGGCCTCAATTTACATGATTGTTTGTGGATTTGAATTCAGTGACTCTAAAATCCCGGGAAAAATCAAGAGTGTACATTACTTGTAAATAATTTGTAAATAAATCTGTGAACATTTTGTAAAGTCACGGTAAAGAAGCTGTCAAGTAGAACATTTTCTGCGACAGTACTTGGACTGCCAAAGGTTACACATTACGGGCTAGGGCAGTTTCTGTGGGTGTGACAGGTAGCATTATCATGTTGGCATTTTAATGTAATGATTATAAGAATAAGAAAGCATCCATTAAAAAAAATACTGCTGGAGAAAAATAACACGTGCAAGTTGTTTCAGCTCACAAGGAAATAAGAGAGGGACTTGATCGGATCAAAGCAGAGCAAATAACCAACTCTTGTTGATTGCTTTTTCTGCAACTCTTCCTGGTTTAATATATTTGACTACTTCCTGGCTGATGTTGACCTTGTTTAAGCACTTTATGTCACTGCAAACAGACCAGAGACTTTATGACGAGTTGGTACTTCCTCAAATAAAAGTTACTTTTGGAAAGACAGGCAAATCACGCTCCAAAAATATCACCAAGACGCGATATGGATATTGTCTCCATTTCCCGGTCATGTCGCGAACCGATGAACCTGTACGGCTGTTTTATGTTTGCCAATACACCCATCAGCTCCTCTTTCTATCTACACTTCATTTGCTGCTGTGCAAGCAGAGTAATACAAGTCACAACCCAAACAGTCGCCCTGCGGCACATGTCTGTAAACAAAGAGATCTCTGATTCCTACACAGGATTGGTGTACTATTTACGACACACATTTCTCTCTCTCTCTAGCCTCACTCTAGGTGACACAACTACACGACGCGACGGCACGACGGCTTCCTTGCATCGTGCCGTCGGGTCGCACCGTCGCCTTCTTGCCATTACTTTTGTACACACACGACGCGTTGCGTTGTGCCGTCGCCCGTCGCGTCGTGCTGCCTTAGGTCCTTTCCATGTTGCATTTTTTGCCGCCTAAACGTCGCCCCTTCCGTCGCCCGTCGCGTCGTGCCGTCGCCCGTCGCGTTGTACGTCGTGTCGTGCATCGCGTTGCCTATTACGTCACCTGAAGCACGACGCAACGCACGACACGACGCACGACGCGACGCGTCGTGTGCTGTCGCCTTTTGTTTCTTGGTGTTTATAGACAGCGCCTTTACTGATTTCTTTCATTTCCGCCCCGGTTCTTGAATAGTAGGGTACAGTCCACTAATTCAAGCCCCATTGAAAACAGTGTAAATAAAAAATAAAATTATTGTTCGGTCCCTAATCTTTCGATTTCTGCTCAATTTATTGTGGGCAAACCAATTACTTTTTTAATTATTCCCACAAAACAAAATTACCCCCGAAAAGTGATTTTTCCGAAGTCTGATTGCAGCCATTTTTCAAGTGGCAACCCTCAACCTCCTTGGACACTTAGGACCATTTTTCAGTTGTAGTATTCAGCCATTTTGCTCTCATAGGATAGCTCAAAGACCCAGGCAGTTGATCCTGGCAAAGATTTACACAATCTCACCATTTCGGGGGCCAAACAATCTCCTTTTTTCAGAAAAATGCTGGGCTGCTACTTTAAATGCTAATGAGCTGAGCAGTACTTAAATAGTGGACTGCATGCACCCAGGACAGGGTATTTACTCTTTGTACGCTGCCACCATGGGCATGCTGAGCCTTGAACTGACAGCTTTTGAAATATTGTCCAATCGTAGAGTATAGATGGTAGAAGAACTAACGCAAAATCATGCCCAAAATTACTTACCAACAACATACACGGAAAAAGCTGCCAGATCGAGGCTCTGCGTGGCTATGGCGGTAGCGTACAAAGAGAGAATAGGTAGCAGGCCTTGTTTCTCTTATTGTTCCTTTTCATGGTTACTTTCTAACTTTGTGTTTTCACTGAGAGTGAGTTTTTGAAGAAAAGGTTTGTTTGTTTTTTAATCACATGTAATTAGAAAGAGCGTCACGACCAACTATCAGCCTTGTCTCCAGGAAATAAATAACATGAGCCACAACGTCGTTTTAACTTATGTAATTATGTAAAAGAACTGATTTTGTTTCCCTACTTTTTGAAATCCTAAACCCACCAGAATTAGGTCACACTATTTGTGGGGGTTGCTTGACAGTGCGTGTGGGCAGTTGGTACCAGAATTTTGCAACCAGCCACAAGAGTCCTTTAGAAGGAGCTGATAACTTCCCTAGCTAGTGACCTTCCACTTCACTTGGCTACTGGACTAAACAGAGATTGTTCTGTTGTCTCTGTGTGATTTCTCCTTCCATCGAACCTGCCATACTCGCAAATTCGTCCCTGTCCTGAAAAGCAAAACCATCACCAGTGTGAGCCTATTGAACCACACATGCAAACGTTGCTGGACTGCGGGTGGCCTGGACCAGAGCCACCTGAATTCCGTTCTGAAACCTGATTTAGTCGAAGACAAGGAAAGACTGTGCACTTGAACCCTAAACATCATATAGCCCAACACATCTTCGACATCCATTCAATGTAGACAAATTGTCTGGGGAATTGGGAGTACTACTTAGAAATTACCGGGACGGACCACAAATGGGAACTGCATCGACGGTATTAAAAAGAAATCTTTGGCTGGGTTTAAAGAGTGACAAATTCTGGGCTTCCACATATTATGAGAGAGCAGTTCCTACATTTGCCGATTTTTTTCTTTATTTTTAATAGAACATGAAAGAAATTAATCCTAATCGAGAAATGGATTAGATAAAAACAAGAACAAATCAACACCAAAGAGTAAATAGCATGTACTTTGCAAGCACGGGGGACAGAAATGAAAGAAAACAGTAAAAGCGCCCTCTATAACCACCATGAAGCAAAGGGCGACAGCACACGACGTGTCGCGTCGTGCGTCGTGTCGTGCGTCGCGTCGTGCTTCAGGCGACGTAATAGGCGACGCGATGCACGACACGACGTACGACGCGACGCACGACGGTACGACGCGACGGAAGGGGCGACGTTTAGGCGGGAAAAAATGAAACATGGAAAATACCTGAGACAGCACGATTCGACGGGCGACGGCACGACGCAA